TAAACTCCAGTAGCTCCCGGCATTTAAACACCCTTCCTCCTCCCCATCCTCAGGAGGGAGTGCTTCGTTTCTCTGGTTCCTAGGCAGCAAAACTTTCAAAAAGGAGCCGCCTCCCGTCGCACTCCTCAGGTTCCCTGCCCATCCCCTCGCCCCATGGCTCTTCGGTCTCACGTGGAGGTGCCTTGTTGAGGTGCTCTGGAGCTCCTGTAAGCGCACCCAAGGCGGCACCTCTTTACCCTCCCAGAATCGAGAGTTCTGGATCATGCCTCCTTCTCAAACCCTCCCCTCTCTCTCGGTTTCTTTCGGATTCCCCGTATTATCTCACACTTTGCAGGTCTTTCCACCTCTGCGCACCCCAGAGGGGGCCAGACGCCCTTCTCTTTCCTCTCCACGCTGACTCCGTAGGTGACCCTCCCTTGAACCCAAGACAGTCCCACCTGTGTGTCTGTTTACCAGCCCTTGTAAACTTCAACTGCTCAGAAAGGAACCTTTAACTGTGCCTCAAATGTCCTCCTACCTTACCACTACTCTCAAGCACTTCTCCCTCATGCATATCCCTTCCCCTGCTCCTTTTCTTCATAGAATTTACTGCCCCATGAAACTTTCTAGTTGGTATGTGTGTTTCCTTGCATCCTTTATGCCTTCCTTTGTTGGAGAGACGTACCTCAGCAGTGCACAGACCTTGTGCACAAACAGCTAGCTGAGTAGTCTGGAAGTGTGGTTCCAGGAGCCTCAGCATCACCTGGGAACTTAGAAATGCAAATTCTCAGGCCCTACCCCAGATCTCAGGAAGCAGAATCTCTAGAGATGGGGCCCAGCAATCTGTTTTAACAAGCCCGCCAAAGGATTTATAATTTGAGAGCTACTGGGTTAGCACAAGGTCTGGTGCTCCCTAACTCTCAGCTGCAGCAAGTCACATGCAGCTGGTGTTCAGTACAGATTAGCTTCTTTCATGACTAGAGATCTGGGCACGTGTCAAAACCAGGGCTGGATTAGTATAAAACATGAATATGCTGTGTGTTCTTGTTTTTTTTTGTTTGTTTGTTTTGTTTCGTGTTTTTGTTTTTTTTTTTAAGATTTTATTTATTCAGGGGAGGGGGTGGCAGAAGAGGGAGAGGAATACTCCCTGCTGAGCAGGAAGCCAGATGCAGGGCTTGATCCCAGACCCTGGGATCCTGACCTGAGCTGAAGGCAGAAGCTTAACCGACTGAGCCACCCAGGTATCTCTGGTGTGTTCTTATGTGCATAGACTATCTGTGAATGGACACACTATAAACCAGTATCGTGGTTATTGCTCACGAGGGAAACCAGTTGTTGGGAAACAGAGTAAGGAGAAAGGTTTACTTTTCATTGAATACTTTTTTTGCATCTGGGAATTTTGTAATGTATGCCCTATCTATTCAAATTATAGACAAAATGTACTTAAAACAAATAGAACCACACAGGGATTCTCTTTCCCAGCCTGGCTCGGCTCTGGAAGAAAAAGACCACTGTCACCCCAAACTCTGCCCTCTGCTGGCTGTTCCACAAGACGGCCCCACAGTCTCTGCTTTCCTCCTTTTCACCCTTCTCTGCTGCCCTTCTTTCTCTCAGCAGGCTCCAGTCCCCATGGATTCTCTCAGTTCCCACTTGGCCTTGGGACCTTTGCATATGCTGTTCCTTCCTCCTGAAACTCTCTCTCTGCTCAGTCTTACTCACTCCTACTCATTCTTCCCATCTTATTTCAATGTTCCTTATCCCAGAAAGCCTCCTCTGATCATCACCCCCCGACAAAAACGAACGCTGCCACACATTCCCGCAGCACCAGGAACTCTTAGGTGTGTTCTCACTTGTAGAACTTACGTGCACTTGTGGGTTTGTGTGGTTATTTGATCTGATTAGTGTCTGTCTCCACCACCACTGGGCAAAGCCCCCATGATGGGGCTCAAACCTGCTTTGTTCTTAAGTGTATCCCTGTTTCGTCCTGTTCCTCTGTCTGGTCCTCTGGCCTCAGGACCACTCCCCTGAAGATCCCTCCATATTCTTCGATACTTTCCTTTCCAGCTCTTCTGTCAGGAGTCCTGCCGGTGATGGGAGTCTTTTCCATCAGTCTTCCTGAGCCTGTTTCCTCATTTGTAAATTGAGGGGAAGTACTGACTTCTCAGGATGGTTAGGGAGGTGGGGAGCACTGTAGGGAAAAGATCCCATCATAGGTGCCAGGCACATGGCAGGGGCCTACCTCACAGGACTCTATATGTTTAGGACAGTAGCTGGGGTCTCAGCATATTGTCATTTCCCTCACCTTTCTCAGTTTCATAGTAATTGACTCTTCCCAAGGAGCATTTTCAGAGGAGAGGTGAATGGGAATTAGGATAGCTCTTTAACGTAACAGGTCCCATTTATTAGGCCAGGCCTTATATTAGTTGCTTTGCATGCATCATGTTAATTCTCATAACAATCCTGTGAAGTAGCGGCTATCATTATTTTTCCTCCCTCCCCTTAGAAACCAGGACTTTGAGGCTCAGAAGTAACATGCCCAAGGTCACGGTTACTAAGTAGAAAAGTCTGATCTGTTTTATTCATCCTTTCACTCACTCGGCAATTACTTATTGAGTGTCTACTATGTTCAGGCTCTGTGCTCAGCAGCTGGGGCTATAATGATGAGGGAGAGAAGAAAGGGTTTTGACTATCAGATCTAGAAAAGCTTTTAGGAGGAAGTGGCAACAAAGCCGGAGTCTGAAGGAAGAAGATTTCGGAAGAAGATGAGTTGCTTCTAAGGGCTGAGTATTTGGCGAATTTTTTGGTCCATCTTTGAGAGTCAACTTAGAATCTGTCCACCACTGAAACCCCAGGCCTTCAGGAGGTTTCTGCAGTACCACTTAAATCTCTGACTGGATCTCCAGGGAAGGGGAATTCACTACCTCCAGAGGACTGTGATAGAAAGGGAAGTTCTGAAGGCACCTGGGTGGCTCAGTTGGTTAGGTGTCTGCCTTCAGCTCAGGTCGTGATCCCAGGGTCCTGGGATCGAGCCCCACATTGGAGTCCCTGCTCGTCAGGGAGCCTGCTTCTCCCTTGCCCTCTGCCTGCCGCTCCCCCTGCTTGTGCTCTGTGTCAAATAAATAAATAAAATCTTTAAAAAAAAAAAAAAGAGAGAGAGAGAAAGAAAGGCAAGTTCTGGAAGGCCTAGGAAAGCCATATGGTCCTGACACATTTTAGAACCCAGAACTGAGGGTATGACCCAGAGGATCCATCTCCTCTGCCCCCTCCCCCTCACACCACACTAAAGGCTTTCCTCCCCCTATCTGGGGCTGGGGGAATGGTAGTAGGGAAGCAATTAGCTCAACAGAGCTGTAAGGGAACACAGACAGGATCTAGATTAGATGTCCCCTGGTGGGAAGTATTTAAAAATGTGTCCCTGAGGATATATTTGAACAGGATCTTGAAAGATGAATAGGAGTTTGGGAGTGGGTTGGATGAAGCCAGCAGAGTTCCAGCTTGAAGGAGCCAAGGTTCAGGTTCTGATGTCTGACCCAGTAGGGTCAAACCCACTAGGTTTGGAATCCCCATCACTGCTGGGTGACTTCATCAGTGTATCATAGAGACAATATTGGAGCTACCTCATAGAGCAGGTGTAAGGTTTGGACAACATAGTGTTAATGTAAATCTCTCAGAAAAGTGGCCAGCACTTTTCTGATTAAAGATACAATACAGGTTAACCAATGTTGGTAAGGAACAGCCACCTTCAAAGTGCAAGGAAGCGTTGCAAAACATTCTGTGTAGCAGGTGAGGGAAGGGGTGTGATGAGAAACGTGGTCAGGGGTCAGACCAGGCAGGGGTGTGAATGCCAGGATAAGGATTTTTAAAAAATTAAGCAAGGAATGAGAGAAGAGGCAATGGATTGGTAGGGCGGGATTCAGGGGTGGTGAGGAAGGGGCAGCCATGAGGAAGCTGTGGCATGACCCGCAGAGGAGAGGCGGGCAAAGCACCAGAGCTCTTGTTCTTTGTCTTCAAACAGGCCAGGTAGGGCTTAGTTACACCTGGGGCGGCAGCCAGGATGAGTCTTTCCCTGAGAGGGTCGCCGAAGGCGGTTCCCCGGGCAGGCCCAGAGGCTGGTGGCCGTGCGCCACCTGGTGGCTGCAGAAGTTAGGCTCAGCCCGGAGCAGGGGAGACCGCAAAATCCGGCATTTTGCTCTGGGAAACTGAGGCGGGGAGCGGGGCGGGGGGTAGGGTGGGGTTTGTGATCTTTCGATTGGACTTCGTCCCTATTCTAACCCCATTTTACAGATAGGGTAACCAAGGAGAAGGGAAGGCAAACAAGGCTGGGTAAGGAGTTTCTCAAGCGGAGCGCTTCAAGACACCAGGAGTCAAGAGCCTGAGAATTTCTTTAATGGCATCAATGGCCTGGAGGTTTATTTTCCATTCTGTTGGGCAGGGGAAAATGAAAGAGGAGGAAGAGAAACCGTTGTCTTTCCCGCCCACCCGGAGGTAAAAGGCTTTTGAGAGTACCCCGGAAAGCAGAGTTTTATAGATTCCATTTGCATACGAACGTAGTCACCTGGAGTTAAGCTCCGGCCCTTTAATCTCTGGTCCAATTTGTCCCGAAGCCGCGGAGGAAGTCCCTCGTGAATACCTCCAAACTCCGCCACCATCTAAACCCCGCCCACAGGGCTGGGCTTCATTGCACGTGCTCACCCAGCTCCTTAGCGCTCCGCCCCTAGGAAAGACTCATTGTCTAGGTGGGGGGATACGGGTAGTCGTAGGGTGCTTTGATCTTGGAAAAATCAAATAAAGAGAAGGGGCCTGAAGTAATCTTTGTTAAATTTTCACCCGAAGTTTTTATCTCGGTTCGTGACATTTACAGGCCTTGGCCTTCACTTCTCAGCGCTGCTTATCCTTCTTTCCACCCCTTCAACTGGTGGGGTCCCGCGTGGCCGGCCTCGCCCGGCGGACTTCAATTCCCAGCGTGCCCCTCAGGCCCGTGCGTGGTAGCGGCGCGTGACGTCGGGGGCGGGAGCTGGCCAGTGCTGAGGGGGCGCGGCGCGGAGGGGCGCGGAGGGGCGCGGAGCCGGGCGGCTCGGGGCCCAGAGAGCGCCGCGGCCGGGAGCCCGCCGGCCCCTGACAGCCCCCTCCCCCCGGCGGACGACGACGACGAGGACGAGGGCGCCGGTCATGGCGGAACAGCGAACCGAGCGCGGGCCCTGAGCACCACCGCATGGAGCGGGACGAACGGCCGCCTAGCGGAGGGGGAGGCGGCGGGGGCTCGGCGGGGTTCCTAGAGCCGCCCGCCGCGCTCCCTCCGCCGCCGCGCAACGGTGGGTGAGGGGCGTGCGGAACCCGGGCCCAGGAAGAACCGACCGTCTGTCCCTTGCCCTTGGGGTTCCCTTCCTCTCAGCCGACTCTCTGAGCCGGCTCAGAGAAGCCGCAGCGGCTCTGGGTCCCCTCAGCGTGGACCTTCACCCCGGTCCCCTTAGCGCGGACCCTCCCTCCTCCCCCGTGTTCCTCAATGTGGACTCTCCCCCTCCTTCCCCGTTCCCCTCAGTGCGGACCCTCCCCCTGCCCGGTTCCTTCAACCCGGACCTTCTTTTCCCCCTCCCCCCTGTCCCTCAGCACAGGCCTCCCCTCCCCCCGTCCCCTGTGCGCGAATCCTCCTCCCTCCCCCCAGGTCCCTTCAGCGCCGAGCCCTCCCCTTCCCCTGGGTCCCTTCAGCGCGGACCCTCCCCGGCCCCCCACCTCCGGTCCCGTCAGTGGGGGCTTTCCCTCCCCCTCGGGTCCCCTGTGCTCCTAGCCTCCCCTTTCTCCCCTCCGAGGGTCCCTTCAGTGCCCTCCCCTCCCCCTCCGTCCCTTCGGCGCCCTCCCACGCGGGTGCCCCCTCCCTCCGCGGACGCCACACCCTCGTCCCCCGTCGTTCTCTGTGCCGTCACCTTTCTGGAGCCGCTTTCCTACTCCTGCAGTCCCGCGCTTCCCCTGCCACCCCCGTATGCACCGCGAGCCTTCCCCTCTGCCCCGACCCCCAGTTCGTTAGCTACCCGCTCAGCGCTTCATTTTCGGACCTCTCGGTGCCTGCTCCACACCCCATTCCTTTGCTTCTGCCCCCGCCCGTGCTCAGCCCCTTCTCTGCTGGCTCAGATCTCTGGCCCGACCGGGCGCTCGGGACACCTGCCTCTTCCCTCCCTCCCAGCGGCCCGTCCCGGTCCGCGCTTTCCCAAGCTCAGCTCTCCCCTTCCCTTTCGCGGTCCCGGACCCACACGCTGAGAATTCCTCACCTGGCCGGGTCCTTCCTCCCGCTCTCCCCCCTGCCCCCACGTCCGGGCCAAGTCCTCGGGTTCCTCCCGGCCGACTTGCCCTACTCCCCCCCCCCCCCCCGCCGGCTCCCTTTCTCTGCGGGGTGTTTTATTTGTATCTGTTTGATATTTCCCCCCTCGGTGTTTGCCGCGGAATGTTTTTATTGGTAACGTGTAAGGAGCTTTTGTGAGGTCGTAAAAGGTGAACTTTTGAACTTGGAAAGCGCCCTGGAGCAATTAGCGCAGGCGATAGCCCCGGGAGGCCTGCATTACAAAGGGTGCTCGTACCGGCCGGCAAACGCTCCGGCTGCAAACCCAATTTATTTATTTATTTGCCCTGCCTTCCACCTTTCACATCTCCTCATTTCCGAATAAAGGGCAGGCTCTCGGAGATCGGCGCCTCCTCCCCTCTCTGCGCCATAAACTCGCAATTCTTTGAAAGATCTAGGACGGAACACTGTCTAACAAGTAACAGATTTCAAATTGAATGCAAACACCCGGGACAGTTAGGAGGCACTAAAAATTAATTGCTTCAGCAAGAAGTTTCTCAATCAGGACAGTGACCTGGCAGGTGTGAGGAAAGTAACGTGAAAATAGGTCATTTAGGCGCTCAGTTGTTGAGTGAATCCTCGAGGAGCTACGGAAGGGGAGAGATTTGGGGGTGAATCTGCGACTTCGCGTACTTACAAACTCATCAAACATTTACTGCCAATTCAGTAGATCTGGTATTTTTACCAGTTAAGGGAAAAGTCGGTTTAGAAGAGAGCCTGGTTAATTTCACTTGATGTTGCTGACCAAATAGTGGTATGTTTTAGAAGCTCTTGTCCTTTTTTAAGATGTATGTGATGTGTGGTATCTAGGTGGCTGGCAGTCCCGTGGGATGTCTTTGGAGAATAATTTCTGAATGTGAACATGTTTGAGATCAATAAAATCCCGTGTCACAAAGGAGGAGGCTGGAATCCATTGAGAGTAGAAGAAGACAGTATCATAGGAACAAAGGATTTCTTTAACGCTTTTGACTTTTTAAGCTTTTTTAAGTGGAGATTTGTTTTGGTATTGATGTACGAACGTTGTAAATCCTGATCTAAAATTTACTATGCTGATTTTTTTACCCAACCTACATCTATCTTATAGCCCATGTTAAGGGCATGTATTTTCATGATGTCTTTCTACGTGTGTGTACTTCCTGTACCCACCTGTGCATAGCATGTAGATGATCGATTTTACTGCAGACATTACTTTCATTTCTACTTGAGGATGTTGTAAGGGAAGCCTAGGAACTGCATTTGCTATTAATTATTCATTAGTACATTTTAAAGAACTCAATGGTAATTTTAACTCTTAATCAAATTTCCCATTCATAGTCTCATTTCCTCAATTGGTCAGAACCATTTAAAAGAATGTTATCGAACATTCCATTTAGGCCAGGGTGGCTTTAATATTTTACATCAGTCCATTTTAGTGCTACAAATATTTCCTTTTTGTTGAAAACACAATGGGACTTTGGGCAGTTTGGGATTAAAAGAAAATACATGAAAGGTTAGACTGTTGTGGGATGTTTTATTTTTCACTGAGCATTGTGTATTTTACAATTTATGTTCATTATCTCTTGTATTTTAACATGCTTACAGAAGAATTACCAAAACAAAAAAATAAAGTTTACCTTTGGAATGGTGGGGACTTCTTTTCCCTTTTATACTTACTAATATTTTTCTCCAAAGCAAATGAAACTGCTTAAGTTCTAAGGAGAGTAAATGAATTCTCCTGGCTTTTTATCCTAATGACTGATTTTCATTTTGTATGAAATATTTGCCATGAATAGCTATCTAGATAGGAGATCTTTTGGTTTGTGTCATGAAGAAATAAACTGGAGGTGGAATTTTAGAAATGTTTTCCTGCCGGAAACACCATTAATGCTGAATTTACAATCTTTTAGATTTTTTTTTTTTTTATTCTATCAGAACAGAGTTGCTAGCCTTTTGATGTACCATCACCCTTTCAGGAATTTCATGTGCTGGCTGCTCCAGATATTTTCAGTTGTTGCTGTAGGTTTTCATAACAAACACAAGCTCATTTAGTCATAGTAGAAGACTGCTCCCTTTTTGGGGTTTCAAAGGAAGATGATTTGAGGAAGTATATGCTAAATATTACATTTGTTATATTTTAACAGAATGAAGTAGTAGTCTTTTCGATATTTTAAGTAAAAGGAAGGTTAATAAGCCATTATCAGTAATTAAAAGCATGTTTTATGTAACTATACTTGGGAGGAAATGGGGAGAAATTCGCTAAATAACTTGATGCCTTTTTCCTGCTATGATCGTGTCATGCAAATCTGAAAATATCTGAAAAATATCAGATATTTTCCATGACAGTTTAACTTTTAGTTCTGTGACTTTAAAAGTTAATTCTGAGTCACCTCAGAATTTTCTTTCATTGAAAAAAAAAATACTGTGGTATTGTTGTATACAAAGGGCACATAGGTATTTTTTAGTAAGTTCCATGACCTCAAAAGAACACTGAAAGGATTGGTGATTTTGAGCAGCTGAGGTGTGAGATTTTTCGGATCTCATATTTACCATCCATCAAAATCTTTGTGAGCATTTCTGTTTCTTATAATGAAAATCTCGTGACATGCTTCATAATCTGTAAATTATTCTGAATTACATAGCAAAAAGGTATGTGGTGTGTGTGCATGCGTTAGCATGTGAAAAGAAGTTAGATGGGAAGCTAGTGAAATAAAATGGTAGATTTCCTAAATTGTGGCCAAATCATGCATTTCCATTTTATTAATAATTTCTTGGTTTTTCTTTTTTTTCCCCCTTTTCCCTGAGGTTTTGGGGCAAAGGTAAAAAATAAGCTATAGATTAAAATACCTAGTTTTAGGTTAGTGGAGGATAGGGGTTAGAAATGCCAACTGCTACTATGATATTGATAAAGAAGTTTTTATGCCACTTGTAGTGCTTGTTGTGCAAGTTGTTTTCAATTGCTAATGAATATTAGTGTGTTTGGGGGCCTGGGGCTGTGTAAGTGTGTTTCATCTTATATTCAGACACCATCACTTAGTTTTTATAACTAGGTAGATATTTATTGGTTTGTGTTGTATAAGCTGGTCCGTTGATAAATTGTGTTCAGATCGGAACCTCTGGCTTCAGAATTTCAAAAGCCAGGATGACTCCTTCTGTATCAGGAGACTTAGTTTTCAACAAGCTCATTTAGATCTCTTCGGGGCCTTGTCATAATTTTTAGTTTTATATTTACCTTTGTGTTGTAGCCAAGTTAAAGGACACTTTCTCTGTTTAAATATTTGTTTCCATGTATATAATTAGGTTGAAGGTTAAATTTGAGAAGATGCCTTTTAAGAGTTCTACGTTCTTGGTCCTATCCTTTTAAAGTAGGACAATAAAAATGGCTTATTTTGTGTGAACCAATCACCTTATATGTGAAAATGGGTCACAGTCAGAAAAATTAAAGTTCTGAATCAACAGATAAATAAAACTTGCATTTCTGCAAAAAAAAAAGTCCTTGAAACAATTTTAACAGAAGGTAGCTACTGAATATGCCTATTACAAATACCTAATTCTTTGCAGTGCTTTGAAAGTATTTCCAAAACCAAGACATTGTAAACGAAAGTGTTTTGTTTCAAACCCTTTTTTTTTTTTTGATTATTCAAATTTGCATTTTTAAGGTCAACTTTTCCTGGCTCAGGTAATTTCTTAATTTCTTTACGGATGCTTTTGATTGATAACTAGAGTTCAGAAATCCCAGAATTATTAAAAGTCGGCAAGAAGTCCTGAGTAGGTAATTGATTTTCGGGTGTTGAGCCCCTGTTAGAGCCAAAGTTTCAGATTCATCTGAGCTTAACCTTAAAAAAAAAAAACAAAAACAAGACTCTGGGTGTAACTTTGATATATACAGTATTACTAGAATCAAGCCCAGTATTTATTGCTTGTTTTCCAACACGGCTTGTCTTTATGAAAAAGATAAGGCTGTTAGACTACAGATGATGGAAAATTAGAAGAAAACCATTGTGA